ACCCCCTCCACCTCCTCCACCGCCACCACCGCCGCCCCCGCCGTCCCCTCCACCACCCTTGCCCCCCTTGCCCTTGCCGCTGCGGCGCCTCCCACTAGGAGCAGACGCAGCCCCGACCGCCTCGGTGCCAACGAGGTCGACAGCAGCAGCAGAAGCAACAGAGGGCAAAAGGGGAACGGGGGAACACCCCTCAAAGAAAGGGGCGCGAGGGTCGCCGCGAGAAGCTCCTACAGCGACTATGCTAGTCTCAACTGCAGTGAGCATGTCTACGGTGAGCTCAGTGGGGCAAAGGGAGAGAAAGTGGTCCTTGACTGAGCGAACAGAGTCAAGGAGACGGGTGACTAGGTAGAAGAGGGTGATGTACATGGGGGGGGGGGGGGGGGGGTTCTTGGCGCAAAACTCGGAGGGAAGCGCAGCGCGGTAGCGGATGTCACTAGTGCGGAGGTGAGTGATGAGGTCAGCGACTGTGGCAAAAGCGGCTAGGTCAGGGAACAAGTACGGCAGCATGAGGCGGCTGAGGGCAGCAGAGGCAGAAGAGGAGTAGCTTGCGACGACAGCGTCATACAGAGACTTACCAGTCTTGTACTGGCCAAAGTGCGTGCGCTCAGCAGACGGCAGGTGACTACGAACAGCAAGGCGAGCAACAGCGTCACGGGTAGTCCACTGCGAGCGAACCGTACTGTCAGCGTCGGATGCATGTGCAACAGAGGCGCCGGACGTGTGATAGAAAAGTGAGACTCTGTCCCTAGAGTCGCACTGAAGATAGAGCTGCAAGTCATCTACCCAAACCTCAAAATCGACCGCACGGCCCTCTGCATCGAAGGTAAGAACAGTAGGACTAGCCATGGCGGCAGTAGCAGCGGGGCAGGGCGGCGCGGCTCGGCAGGGCGGCGCGGCTCGGCAGGGCGGCGCGGCTCGTCAGGGCGGCGCGGCTCGTCAGGGCGGCGCGGCTCGGCAGGGCGGCGCGGCTCGGCAGGGCGACGCGGCTCGGCAGGGCGGCGCGGCTCGGCAGGGCGGCGCGGCTGGGCTAGGCAGTGCGGCGCGGCAGGCATGCGGGCGAAGCGGCGCGCTTGGCAGGGCGGGCGCTTACCAGGGGCGGGTGCAGGGCAGGGCCGCGAGTGGTGGGTAGGGCCGGGCCGCGACAAGGCGGCAGCAGGGCAGGGCTGCGACGGGGAGGCAGCAAGGCAGGGCCGCGATTGGGCGGGAGCAGGTCAGGGCCGCGATGGGGCGGCGGTAGAACAGGGCCGCGACGGGGCGGCAGCAGGGCAGGGCCGCGACAGGGCGGCTGCAGGGCAGGGCCGCGACGGGGCGGCGGTAGAGCAGGGCCGCGACGGGGCGGCAGCAGGGCGGGGCCGCGACAGGGCGGCTGCAGGGCAAGGCCACGACGGGGCGGCGGTAGAGCAGGGCCGCGACGAGCGGCTGAGAGCAGGGCAACGGGTGGCGGCAAGGCAGGGCCGCGACGGGCGGCTAGGTCAGGCCACGACGGGCGGCTAGGTCAAGCCGCGACGGGCGACGACAGGGCAGGGCCGCGACGGGCCGCTAGGTCAGGCCGCGACGGGCGGCTAGGTCAAGCCGCGACGGGCGACGACAAGGCAGGGCCGCGACGGGCGGCTAGGTAAGGGCCGCGACGGACCGTTAGGGCAGGGCCGCGGCTAGGTCAAGCCGCGACGGGCGACGACAGGGCAGGGCCGCGACGGGCGGCTAGGTAAGGGCCGCGACGGGCCGTTAGGGCAGGGCCCCGACGGGCGGCGACAGGGCAGGGCCGCGACGGGCCGTTAAGGCAGGGCCGTGACGGGCCAGGAGGGCTGGGCCGCTACTAGCGGCAGTAGGACAGGGCGCGCGACAGCGCAGGCGAGGTAGGCGCGAGGCGCGCTTCGGGCAGGGCAGGAAAAATAAATTATCGTGGTGGGCCCTATAAAAAAAAACGCTCCCACTAGGGAGCCTGCTCTGAAACCATGTCAGAATGTAGGAATGAAGAATAACTAGGAAGACAGCAGTACAGGGTTTGTATATCAAAACCTGATTTGGGCTATACCCCATAAAGAGTGCCCCATTATAGCCTAGAGCATAGTTTTCACAGCAGCGCAAGCTCACCTTCGACGGAGGGAGGATAGTCAGACCCAGATTCAAAAACAAGACGCGCGACGTAGTCAAGGTGTCAGAATCCCAACCACTAACTACTGGGATAAAAGGGCTTGTTTGTGTAGAGGGTGAGTGCGCCCATAACCCCCCAGACCGACGTGCCTGTAACCCTTCCCTAGGATCAATCAGGGATCACCAGTGGACCTCTGACACCCCCCCGAAGTGGACACACCGAGATTCGAACCCGAGACCTTCGCTTTGATACTATGTCAGAATCCCAGCCACTATCCACTGGGATAAAAGGGCTTGTTTGTGTAGCGGGTGAGTGCGCCCATAACACCCTAGGCCGACGTGCCTGTACCCCTTCCCTACGATCAATCAGGGATCACTAGTCGACCTCTGACACAAGGTAGCACGTAGCAGCAAAAGTTAACGAGCTCAGTGACTAAGGCAGACGCAACAACAGACTCAGAGGTAGGGTCATTGACATGTATCGCTAGACAACGAGGAAGAGTCGGACCAGCAGCACGCGCAAGGTCAGACTCAAGGTTAGGAACGTCAGGAACCGAGGACGCTGAGAAAGACAGCATGATAGGACACCGTGCAACATGGGAATAACTATTGAATTCAAGAAAAAGCTGCAATTTTGTAACGTTGGTGCAGCTGCAACTATTGAATCGCAGTGACTGTTCGGGGGTCATTTTAAATCACCTTCTCTTGAAATCACGTGCCCCATAAAGTCCAGCTCGGATTTTAGGAACTCGCACTTACAGCCATTTGTTATCAATCGTTGAAATGTTGTTCCCGGATGTCGTCGAGATACACGATGAATGTTTTTTCGAGCTGCTCTCGGAATACTGCATACATCGTAAGCTAAAATGGCAACGTTCGTCAGTCAATGACATCACTATGTACTCGTAACTGCCGTATTATATGCGAAGAAGGGTGTGGGGTTAATAGCAATCATTTTGAATTTGATGAAGGCACGAACGCTAATGTAGTCGGAGCAAAGTCATTGTAATGTATTTCACAGGCCAACCGCTTCACTGACTACGAGGTCTATCTTTCCCCTTAACACAAACTACCCTGGAAACGTAAGGGAACTTAGGAAAGCAACTCTGAGACCAAATCTTATGGGTTGTATTGTAAGAAAGAGAGCGCTCAAGTTAATATCGAAACTGTGATTATATTTGTGACGAATGAACTAGCTTGGTGGGGACCTCGGAACGGGAGGTTGGGTGCTGGTTTAGAGTTGCCAAGTTCGGGCCACGTGCGACGACCTGGCAACATGGGAACAACAGCTGCCACTCATTGAATTCGCGTACAACAATTCCACGTCAGCCACGACACAACAGTCACCCTTCTACCTCAACCACGGACAGAACCCAATAGTGCCCATAACCCCGAATCCTGACAACCTAGTGCCACGTGCGCAACAGTTCGCCAAAATATTACAGGCAGCACGGACCTGAGCAGCAGATGCAATAAAAAAATCCAACATCATCGCTAAACGCAACGCCGATCGCCACCGCCGCCCCGTCACTTACCAACGCGACGACGTGGTTTTACTCGACACTCAAAACCTTCGCCTACCCATCACTCCAAAACTCCGCCCACGATATTGCGGGCCATTGCACATCAGCCACATGATCAACCCCGTCACCGCCCACCTCCTCCTTTATCCTAACTGGGCACGTAAGCCCGTCATTCCACGTCAGCCTGCTCCGCCCATATGTCCCATCCACCAACCAACTGCTTCGCAACCGCCCAGCTAGCATGACACGACCACCCACGGAGCCGATCATTACACCAGAAAAAATACGGAGCCACCGAGTTCGTGACCCACGTGGAGCTTGCAGGATCGAGTTTCTGATTCGCTGGAAGGGCCGCACGCCCACCGAGGACAACTGGGTGCCCCTGGATAAAATTGAAAATCACCCCGTCCTCACCGAGTATCTACGCAGCCGCAACTTCCGGGACGCACGCACTCACGTAAGGGGAGTCTCCTTGGGGAGGGGGGTAGTGTAAGGAAATTTCATTTTCCTTACTTCGCGTCCCTGCTTACCGCGTATACGACTGTTCCCGCCACCAGCACCCCACAGTAAAACGCTACCCTACTCGCGACACTCGCCTCGACCACTGTTCCCGCCACTGTACACCTCGCGACCCAACCTCACGGTTAGGTTGGTAACCCGCGCTCCGGTCCTCCGCCTTGTCATTTCCCAACCTCAGCGCTAGGCCCGTAGTGCACCCCATTTTCACTACACTACTCTAGTCGGACAACACAACTTTAAGGGTTCTTCCTCATAATTTAGAACATGTTCGGTAGTGTAGATTTTTGTTAGTAGTTTCGTTCATGTGGCTAGGTTCTAACCAAGGTAGGTCAGTTCATCGTACGCAGACACTGTATCCAACGGAACCCTTCATTTTACTGAAAACCAATCACTTGGCTCCTTGGGAAGACCTGTCTGGCAGCTTTGGCCGAGTGGTTCAATCAGGTTGCGTGATTCCTCCAGCGCGGATGGTCAATTTACCTCACTGCCGTTCCCATCGCGAGGATTTCGGCTGTGCACACGGAGCAGCGCAGGGTGCAAGTTTTCGCGCCAACGCTGCTCGAATGGGAAGCCCGAAGGGAACAATGCTGGAAGCGCGGCAAACCCAACGGGGAAAGATCCGGAATTCCGCATTCAGTTCACTTCGGCTCGGCTTGGCGACCTCGCCTCGTGCTTGCTTGCCTTTCGCTTCACTTGCCGTCAAAACCGTGTCGTTTCTCGTAATCAGATAACTCTGTTGCTGCGTTTTCTTCAATACCCCTCCCATTCTAGTGGCACGACGCATTCCACTCAAGTTGTCTAGCAGAAGAAAGTGCCTCCACGTGGAGTACACCCTTGCATTTACTCAAGTTGCGAAAATTGACAATGAGCGAAAGCACCTCGACGCTGGAACCGCAACAGCAGGCAGCGGAAGAGCAAGTGGAGACTGGGAGTGAAGAGCGGAGGAGCGAGGGCGAGGAGCAACGGAAGCAGAAGCCGCTGGTAGCGGCGGCGAGCGAGGGGGGGAAGCAAGGCCCGGGGGGTCGGTCATGGCGGTTACTCATCGCCGGTGGGTTGGCGGGCGCCGTGGCTCGCACGTGCTCCGCGCCACTTGATCGCATCAAGCTGCTGCTGCAGGTATCGTCGCACATGCACCTCGTCGCTTCCGGTGACTGCACACCGCCAAAACAGACAAAACGCGTGCCCTTTGATTCCCACATTCCTTGTCGCATCCATCGCGTCCCATGGCCGATGGCTATCTTTTCACCGCAGCTCACGCAATGGACGATCTCCTGTCTTCCGTCACTATCCGTCGCCGTGTGTGTGGTTGTTGGTGCACCGCAGGTGCAGCAGCTGGGGCAGCTGGGCACGAGCGCGAACGCGTACACGGGGATCGGGCAGGCGATGGTGAAGATCACGCGCGAGGAGGGCATTCGCGCCTTCTGGAAGGGCAACGGGCTCAACATCATCAGAATATTCCCCTACTCCGCCACCCAGGTCTGCTGCCCTCCTGCCTTGCCCCTGCGTTTCCCCACCGCCTCTGCATTTGCCCTCTCCCTCGTTTCCTTGGCATTCGCCCGCCTCTTCCCAGCGCGTCTGGCGAGCCACTCACGCCGTCCGTTGCCTCCCCTTGACCCTTTGCGCGGCCCGCCGTGTGTGCGTGCAGCTGACGTCACACGAGCAGTACAAGGCGATGATCGCGGGGCCGTCGGGGCAGCTGAGCGTGCCGCAGCGGCTGATGGCGGGCGCGCTGGCGGGCATGACGGCGACGGCGCTGACGCACCCGCTGGACACGGTGCGGCTGCGCATGGCCATGCCCACGTCGGGGTACAACGGCATGGCGGACGCCTTCTCCACCATCGCGCGCACGGTCCGTAAGGGGGGGATGGACGGGGGGAGAAGAGGGGGGTGCGAACATGGAGGGCGGGTAGGGATAGATAACCTGGAAAGGGAAGCGAAAGGAATCTTTACCTAGTGATGAACAAATGGGGTTAAAAATTGTTTTAGGGGCGGGATCAGATGCGAGGGCCGTGTAGCGAGAAGCATTGAGCACACTGCCCGCTGCATTTCTCCCCACTGAGCGTACACGTGGTCTCAATCACAATGCTCTCTCCGCCGTGTGGGGCGTGTGCGTGGTGGTGGTGGGCGTGCAGGAGGGCGTGCTGGCCATGTACAAGGGGCTCTTCGCCACGCTGCTCGGCATCGCGCCCTACGCCGCCGTCAACTTCGCCTCGTACGCACCGCATCCCGCTACACGCCTCATTCCCCCCACGTGTCCACCGCTCACGTGCTCTAATTCCGCCCCTTCGCCCCTCGTTTCTGCAAGCACGTGCTCCCTCCCCCATGATCATGCCATGTCTCTCAATCCCACACTACCCCACGACCCTTCCATCCCTCTCCTTTCCATTTCTGTTCGACACTCCCCTATCCAAATCCAACGCCTCTTACCTGCCACGCCTCCCCCCCGTCATATTCCCGGCACGGGCGCAGGTACGACCTGCTCAAGTCGTCGCTGTACGGGTCGGGCATGGTGCAGCAGTCCGTGCCCGCGAACCTGCTCATGGGCGCCACCGCCGGCACCATCGCCACGTCCGTGTGCTACCCGCTTGACACCGTGCGCCGACGCATGCAGGTGCGACTTGCAGGGCGAGGAGAAGGGGGTAAGGGGTAGGGAAGATGGGGAAGTTGGAGTGGACGGGGGATGAGGGGTGGAGCATGAGTGTGTACGGGGGGGTACAGTGGAAGGGTTTTGGTGGGACGGGGAGTGGGGTTGTTATGTCAACAATTGTGCACGAGTGTAGATGTGAAGCACTACGATAGCAATGATTGAGCATTCTGTGCCCTATGCGTTTGTGTGTGCAAATATGTATGTGTGGGAGTGGGGGTGGGAAGTGCACGTGTGTGTGCGGGTTGGTGTGTGCGCGCACATGAGTGTGTGTGCATGGTGTGTTTGGTTGTCTACATGTGACCAACACTCGTATGGGTATGCATGCATGTGTGTGTGGCATCCGCGATACCCCCATGTGTCAACAGATGAAGGGCAAGGTATATCGCAACACAGGAGATGCGTTTGTCACCATCGCTCGAACAGAAGGCCCAAGGCAAGCACACTCGCCCTGCCACATCCAAACATCCACCGCCTCCTTCCCAATTCACTGCCTTGTGTTGCTCTCTGCAGTGCACTCCTCAACTCACTATGTGCAGTTGTTGGATGCCCTGCACTGGTGGAAGCACGAATGCATCTCACCAAATCTTGCAGTGCTTTTTAGCGTGGACTACATTGCACCCCTGTGGTCTGAGACACTGTGTGCCTATGTGAGACACTGTGTGCCTATGTGAGACACTGTGTGCCTATGTGAGACACTGTGTGCCTATGTGTGACACCCATTGCGTGGGTGGTGTGGTTTGTATTGCAGGGGCTTTTATCGTGGCTGGCTTGCCAACACGCTCAAGGTGGTTCCTCAAAACTCCATTCGCTTCGTGGCATTTGAGTTCTTCAAGTCGGTTGTTGGAGTTGCTAAGAAGAAGACAGACACATAGGAGAACAGCGTAAATTGGTATTATACAATAGTTATGTGTTATTTTTCGTTCTTAATGATTGAAGCAATCAAGTGCCGGTGTGGTGCAATCCATAATATAACTCTCCACATCAGCCTAGGTGTCAGAATCGTGTGCTAGAGTTTAGTAGGCTTAGTAGCCACAGCTTGAGTCGTAACGTGAGTGGCGTGAGTACTGTGAGGGATAGTTTAGAGAGAAGGGGTTTCACTATGAAAACAGAGTACAAGCTATACTACCGTAACCTACTGGATACAGTACTGTTAAGATTAGGAGCTTAGGCTGGACTTAGGTTTAGGAGAGGTTTTGGTAAGGAGAACCATGGAGAGAGAAGTTGGTCAAAGAGGGTTTTCAGAGTAGAGTTGGGAGCGCAAATAGGCAAGAGCAAAGGGATAGGGTACACCAACGGTTGATTCTACTAACTAATACACTAGCAGGCTGTAGGCAGTTATAAGATATGTAAATATAACACACCCCCGTAACTGCCTACGGCTAGCTTGTGATGTCTGGCAGCAGGGCGCCTGGAGAGCAGTTGCTAGTGCCTGGGATATGCACAGAAACTGCGGTGACTGACCAGCAGCACCTGTAAACGCCAGAACGGAGCAGGAGCAGGAGCAGGAGCGCCTAAACGGAGGGCGAAGGCTGCTGGTCGCTCGCCGTCTGCGAGCAAACACAACTGGTGGTGAGGAGGAAGCTGGTGGTCCACACGAGGAGAGCAAAGGAGAGGCGGCTGGAGGAGAGGAGATAAGAGGAGGAGAGCAGCGGAGTGGCGGCTGGAGGAGAGGAGAGAGGAGGAAAGGAGAAGAGAGGTGGCTGGCTGGCTGGCTGGTCATACCCGCCACCCCCACACCCCTTCCCCCTCCCCCCCACTGCAGCAGGGGCGACAAGGGAAGAAAGGAGGAGGCGGTAGGTGCTGTAGGCACGTTCTCGCCACCCCACAGTAGCAGATGCGGCAGTGAGAGAGAGGCGGCAGAGAGGGAGGTGCGGGGTTCATGGGGGCTTGACCACCCCCTCATCCTCAGTCGCCAGTCCCGCCAACCCCCCTTTAGAGCGTCTGCCGTGGCAGGGCACAGCAGGGAAGAGGGCGGGGAGCGGGCTGGCGCTGGTGGGGGCCCTGACGACTGCCGTTGGCGCTGGCGCGGATGGTCGCTGTGGACGTCCCGCCACCACCTCCTTCCCCCCTGCCTCCCTCCCACGGCGAACGATCGCGCACACACGTAGGGCCGGGACAGCTGGGGAAGCACAGGGGGGGCGTAAGGAGGCGCGACGAAGGCATAGCAGCAGCAGGGCCGACGAGTAGGGCCGCGACGAGGCAGGCGACGGAAAGGCGACGCGGGGCAGCGCGACGGGTGCAGCAGAAACTGATTTCGCGCCAGCAGCAGCACATTTTACGCTACTAGTATTAGCAGCTGCACGAACAATACGATAGGCCGCCATGCATAAGGCTAACGGTGGGCCCTTTGGAGTAGGGTCTGGGAACGAGCCTGCTCTGAAACCATGTTAAAGCTAGGTTCTTAGTTTAGTAGGCTTAGCTTAGGAGTAGCCTAGGCAAGGAAGGATAATGGCGAGAGCATTGGAAGAGCGATTGGGGTTACCAACCTCCTACCATGCAGCTAGGTTCCTCCACCTCTTCAGGCCACGCTGGTCGGTGGCGCTACAACGGGCACAGTCCGTCGGATACATCATTAAGACCTGCCAGGCGGCCGTAGCAGAGAACCCCCCGGTAGGAGGGGTCCGGTCCGAGCTTCACCTTGGGGATTGTTGTGTTGTGTTGGAACCTCTCATGGAGGTGTAGATAGGCACAATGGGTCTGGCTAGATAGTACTAAATCCCTTGTTCTAGGCTCTATACTTGCATGTGTGTACCTCTTTGACATATCAATACAGGGACCATTAGAGAGAGAGAGAGAGAGAGAGAGAGAGAGAGAGAGAGAGAGAGAGAGAGAGAGAGAGAGAGAGAGAGAGAGAGAGAGAGTGAGAGCCAGGCAACACGGGCACGAGAGCCAGAGCAGAGGGTCTGGCCCGCAAAGGAAGTCTGCGGCGCGCAATCCTGGCCCTCGAGTCAACTCCAGTCGCCACACCATCGCCTGAAGTGCTCGAGGCACTAAAATCAAAACACCCACCAGCACCACCGACTCCCACCGACTGGAACCTCCCCGATACCACACCTTTCCCTGAAATCACAAAACCCGCCTTCACCAAGATACTCAACCGCTGTGAAAATGGAGTAGGAGGTGGGCCATCTGGGATGACCTTCGAACACCTTCGCGATGCTGCAATCACAAACGGCTCAGTCAACACCCACCTCCACGCCTTAGCGAATACCATCATGCGTGGCTCCCTCCCACCAGAGGTGTGCTCACTCCTCACATCGTCCCGCCTGATAGCGCTCACCAAGCCCGAGGGAGGCACAAGGCCCATAGCAGTAGGGGAATGCCTCCACCGCCTAGCCGCCAAATCCGCCTTAGCGACACTCTCGGAAGCAGCGCAGACTTTCTTCCTCCCGCTTCAGTTCTGCGTCGCGGTACAAGGAGGCAGCGAGGCCATAATACACACGGCACGGGCGTATATGAACTCGCACCAGGACGCCGTAATTCTCCAAGCGGACCTATCAAACGCATTCAATAGCATTAGCAGGAACGCCATAGTCGAGGCCCTCAAGGGATCAGCCCTTGAGAGCGTCCTACCCCTGGCTAAGATCTCGTACGGCGCGCCGTCCCTTCTCTTCCTCGATGCCGGCTTTAATAGTGACCCGCTCACCAGTGAGACGGGCGTACGCCAAGGGGACCCCCTCGGGCCTCTATTATTCGCGGCAGGCATACACCCAGCTCTGTCAAGCACCGCAGCTGCCTTCCCATCCGTCCTATGCCTCGCTTACGCCGATGACATTACCTTTCTGGGAAAAGCGGAGGACTGTACTGCAGCTTTCAACCTTTTCACCGAAACGCTACGAGGCGTGGGCCTGACACACAATCCGGCTAAGAGTGCAGCGTGGAGTGCTTTGGGAGCTGAAGGGGGGGTCTTACCTGACGGAGTGCCGTTCAGCGCAGACGGAATCCGAGTGTTGGGCAGTCACATCGGCCCAACTGCAGGTGCGGCGACATTTCTACGAGGACAGCTGGAAGCTATGTCATCCCCCCTTCCCCACATCGCCGGGATGGACCCCCAGCTGGCGTCACTGCTGCTGACAAAGTGCGTTTCCCGGCGCATCTCCTACCTGGCGCGCACCACGCCCCTCTACCTCCTCGCCGAAGCAGAATGGTCCCAGTGGGGACACGCGCTACTACTTACCCTCCTGGAAGCCTGCGGAGTCCGCCCGCCAAGAGGAGAGGCGGAGGAGTCCAGAGTCTGGGCCCAGGCTTCCCTCCCCCCGTCACTGGGGGGGGTGGGTCTGTCAGACCCCGCAGTGGAAGGACGGTACAGCTACCTTGCAAGTTTTGTCCAGGCAATGATGCTACTAACAGCCATGCCAGGACCAGCCGGACAGAGCCTCTCATCTGCCTTCTCGTGGTCGGCAGGCGTGGATCCCGACCCAGACCCCCTACAGAACTGGCTCAGCGGCTGCAAGGGGGCGCTGTCAGAAGAAGCAGCTGAGCTACTACAGGCTGAAATGGAGAAACCAACAGGACAGCTCCAGCACCGCCTAGCCCGCCTTACTCAAGCGAGCCGCTATGCTGAACAGGTTGCAGCGTCTCGACGGATGGAGCTGAACCCACTGCTAGGCCACACGCAGCGGCTCATCTCTCTCTCGGGGTATGGGGCGGGGGACTGGCTGTTGGCCATCCCGTACATGTCCAGCCTCCGCCTCAACCCCGAGCACTTCGCCTTTGCCTTACAGTTCAGATTAGGCATGCCCCTACCTGTACCAGGCCACTGTGACTGCAATAAAAGGACAGCAATTCTAGACAAGCGGCTCCCAAACCACCTACTGCGCTGCGGCTTTGGACATGGGCGCACAAACACCCACAATGAGCTTCGGGACGAGTGCGCACGCATGGCGGAGGACGCGGGGTACATAGCTCACAAGGAGACAACTGCATTCAGCCCGGTGGATAACAAGCGAGCTGACATCGCCATCCGGGACCGCACCACAGGTTCAGTGTGGCTGGGGGACATCACAATCACTGACCCGATCAGCAAGAGGGACGAGCGGGCCACGAAGGGAAGGGGATGGGCAGCACGGGAAGCGGCGGACAAGAAGATTGACCTCTACCAAAACCGATCTTCGTTCGCAGGTTTCTTCCCGCTAGCAGTCGAGACCTATGGCTGCCCGTGCGACGAGGTGCCGGCTTTTCTAAAGCAACTTTCTGAGTCGGCAGCCCGCAAGCACTTTAACGCACCCCCCAAATCCTACCAGGCAGCCAAACTTCTGCACCAGTACCGCCAGCGCTGGTCGGTGTCCCTCCAAAAGGCCCAGGCCGTGAGCTACCTCATCAAGCTCAACCTAGCAGCACAGATTGAGAACCCACCTGTGGGTGGGCTCGGTGGAGAACTGTACCCCGGGGACTGCTTTGCAACTCTGGAGCCAGGCAGTGGATTTGAGTAGAGGGTTTAGGGGGGGGGGGGGGAGGGTTGTTAGTTTGTTAGTATGTTTGTTTGTTTGTTTTTTGTTTCCTGTTTAGTTTGCTTGCTGAATCTCATAGCTAGCTATTACACCTGCATGCCTGTCTTGGGACTCTTTTCAATATAAGGACCATTCGAGAGAGAGTGAGAGAGAGAGAGAGAGAGAGAGAGAGAGAGAGAGAGAGAGGCCCAAGGAGCTAGCCCTTAGCCTCTCCAGCCCTCTCCAGCCTAGTATATAGCTCTGTCAGGGTGCTCACTCTGCTCATTGTTCAGTTTTTCTTCATTGGCTTCTCCTAACCGAGCGGGAGAGAGCGAGAGAGAGAGAGAGAGAGAGAGAGAGAGAGAGAGAGAGAGAGAGAGAGAGAGAGAGAGAGAGAGAGAGAGAGAGAGAGAGAGAGAGAGAGGCCCAAGGCGTCAGACCGA